GTTGAGAACCGCCGGTCTAGGGGAATACAGGCGGCAGGTTCCGTGCCTGTGCTGTACACACAAGTGGATGCTGGTACATGTAGACGGTCAGAAGAGGTACATGAAGAGGGGAGAAGGCTGCATGAAAGGGGTGGCATCTCAGTGAGCTGTTGACGGGAATAAACAAGTTGTGCATTGGGCTGCTAGTTGAAAGGTTGGAAGTTCAAACTCACCAGCCGCTTTATGGAGTGAGATGAAGCTGCCTGCTCCTGTAAAGATTTCCAACCTCAGAAACCCTTCCCGGTCGGCTCGATGGCAGTGGGGTTTGGTTTGGGTAAGAACAGGGAGCATCAGAGGCAGCAGCATGGTCTGTACAAGAGGATGGCGCCCAGGTGAGGTTGGAGTCGTCGTCGTAGGAGATGAAGGAAAGGCGGCCGGAGCCGGAGCCAGATCCTGAGGCGCTCCACCTTCATCTTGTGGACAGTGGAGGGGTTCAGACAGCGGAACTGATGAGAAGCATTCTAGCAGGAGCCCCCGAGCAGGCGTGTGGACGTAAACCAGAGTGTTCGTTTTCCTTATCAAGACTAACCCCTGGCTGTGCTTCCAGAGCACCAACTCGAGGCAAACCCGACCCTAGAGAATTTAAAGGAGACGCTGTCCCTAACGTCCCTCCTGGCCTGAGTCTGTCTCTGTGGGCTTGTTTCGAGGTGTTGAGCTCCGAGAGGGCCAACTGTGCCCTCTGGCATTCGAGGTCTCCGGCATTCGAGGGGCTCAGACATCACAGACACTAAGGAGAATTGGGGAATGAAGGCAGCCGAGTTGAATTTTCCAGTGCTGCATCCTACCCTCAGAGCGCGCTGACCCGGACCTCCATCTGTCACAAGCAGCTTGACTAAGATCATCATAAATTCTTTTTTCTTGGCATTCTTATAACCGGCACTCTATTTACTAGCCCCTCCGTGCAACTGTGGTGCAGTAATGATGGATGCTGATAATGCTGACCCTGAAGTACCTCGAGCCTTCTAAATCATCAAAAAAAGATTAAAGCGTATTCAGTGCCGCTCTAACATTTGTGTGTTTTACTGCATTCGAATCCTCCGGAAATTGATGGCTGATCAAAGGTCTATGTACACATGTGCACACAGGCTCCACAGAAGGCTGAGGCCAGCCACAATTTCATGCACTGCCCAGGGTCAGGCACAAGGATTTTGGCAACATTGCATGCTTAAAAATACACACATGGAATTTCATCACACTGAGCGGGGAAGCGCATTCGCCCCACAGGGGCAGCTTTTCAGCAGTGAGAAAGAGCCAGCTAGAAAGACAGTGGGCGATAAAGTACGGCCTGGTGCCCCCTACAGGGAGTTGGGCGGTTCACAAAGGGCCCACCCTGGAGCCCTGCTCTGGAGAGGACAGGGTCTGGCTAGGGGGCCCAGGGCCACAGTCTTGTGCACTGTGGCATGCGTTTAGCAGGACTACATTTGTATTGCAGTAACCATTCAGTAAAGTGCCAAATGCATCCCACACACCAGTGGTTCTCAACCTTCCTAATGCCGTGACCCTTTCATACTGTTCATGTTGTGGTGACCCCCCCAACCATACAATTATTTTGGTGGCTACTTCATAACTGTAATTTTGCTACTGTTATGAATCGAGCGACACGCCCCCCCCCCAAGGGGTCACAACCCACAGGTTGAGAACCGCTGCCACACCCCTTTTTGTGCTAGCCATTCTTACTGCCGTGCTGACTCTGCTGTTAGGCCTAAGGAAGAACCCGGAACAAAAGATGTGAGTTCACTTCGTTGTGTAACCCAGGTTCCCAAAGGAGTGTGCTGCCCTCCCCGGAAGGAAGACTTTTGGGGGTTGTGCCCTGCAGTCAGCAGAGCTGCCGTACACATCTCATCGTACACGTGTTTGTAAAGGTAGACCTGCCTCAGGGAGCCCCACTCGCCATCCTTGCCTGAAGAACCACACTAGCTGACTCTGAATTTTGGGGGTCACTTAGTCCCTCTGGGTCTTAGTTTTCCCTGTCTCTGAAAATAGCAGATGATTAGAAATACCTCCTTCCAGGGCATTGTGGGGGTGAAATAACAGTTGATGTGGAAATGCTTAACTGGAAAGTCCTATATAAAGACTAGTTAGTCCCCAACTCCTGACGACCACACAGATGACATGATGGAATGACATGCCCACCTGCCCTACCCCATCCCCATGATACGGTGTGGATTGAACCACTGTGATCCAAAGAGTTGCTGTGTGTTGATTTGTGGCAGTAGATCACCAGGCCTTTCTTCCTAGTCTGTCTTAGTCCAGAGACTTGGTCAGCATCATAACAGCACCCAAGACTCCACTGACCAGATAGGCAGTGGCTGCCTTACGTGCATTGCCCGGCAAAGGAGCCAAGGTCTCCCACTGGGAAGGCAAAAGAGTTCTACCAGTGAACCACCAATGCAAGTTAGATCTTAAAGTCTGTTTCACAGATGAGGAAAATGAGACTTCCTAGCCCTCCAGGAAATGGCAGTCAACCAGCTGCCGAATTAGAGTCTTCTTCCATCAAGGTGAAGCACCTCCTGTCAGCCTCTTGGGTCCCGCCTGGGCCTAACCCTTCATGCCTCAGTGAGGTGTGGTCATCTGCTTCCTGGGCCTTTCCACGTGTGCACTGAGTGGCCCTTATTCTTTCTACCTGAGGAGGAGGCGGCGAGAAAAAGTTCATTTTATGGATAACCATCCCACCAGGCTTTGCTGGAACTCGTCTGTGAACTTCCACACCGAGTGGCGGTAAAAGGATACCCTGATACGGCAGCTTATCAAGTGGCCCGTGGGACTGCTGCCGCGCGCGCATTTTCTCCTTTTAAAACAACGTTTTCCTGATTCCCAGGCAAGCAGAGCCGACTTGTGAATTTGAGCTGCCCATGCAGGGAAGCAGGGCCACATTGACTATTCACTGAGGATGTTGGTGTGGGAGCAGCATTTGTTCAGACTTCAGATCTAAGAGGAGCCTTGTGTCTTGTCCCTCTAGGTTCTCAACAGGAGATGTGTGGAAGCCGCAGTGATGACAGGCCTGGCCCTGAACTGCCACATAAACAAGAAGTCCTTGTTCGACAGGAAGCACTACTTCTATGCCGACCTCCCGGTAAGTCTGGCGAGCACTCGGCCTGCCCTAAGTTCTCTTGCTGGGCCAGACCTGCCCTGGAGGGTTTGAGAGGTGGGAGGGGGCTGTGCCTCGCTGGCTGAGCATGCTTTTAGCCAGGGCTTCTGTCCATCTCAGCAGGCACCTCCACGGAGCCCTGATGAAGGCAGGTGCCCCCTGATGTTTACTAGATTGGATGCAATTGTCCTGATTGCTGACTCCTTGCTTAGCCCCATGCTTCTGGTGGCTGCCTCATAATTGAACGGGAGTCCAAGAAACCAGTGTTCCTGGGCTCAGCCCAGGCGTGGTGTGCGGTGCTTACCGCCTGTTAGGACCAAAGCCCTTGCGGTGACCAATGGCAGGGTGAATGCATGCCGCTCTGCAGGCGTGGGGGGGGGGGGGGGGGGGGGGGGTTGGCTCGCCAGGTTGAGGCTCCCAGGGATGGAAGCGGCTCCTTGGGAGGCATTCCTGTCATCTCCCAAAGATCCAGTAAGTGGATAGCGCGAAGCAGAGCCACGAACCAGAAACCCCAACATCAGCACTGATTGATTGGGTTAGCACTCACCTGGTTGGGTTTTTTCCCCTTCTTTTTCTTCCCTTAAAATGAAAACTTTTTTCTGTCTTTTTCATAAGTAAAGCTAGTGACCTAGACCCAAGGTGTCATGCTGTTGCGTTAGAACAAAACTGACGTGCCGAGTGGGCCCCTGAAGTAATGCTCCCTTTGCCCTGAGCCTCTGATAGTACGGTGTAGGGAAAGGTTGCTTCACGTCTTTCTTCCTGAACGAAAGGTTCAGGTGAGCTGTGGTTGGGATTGGGGGGAACCAGGAGCATTAAATAAAAAACTAAAACTAAGCTCACCCCCACCCCCACCCCCACCCCTCAGGCTGTCAGCCCCTTAGCGAATGTTATTGTCTGGTAGCGTGGAGCGCAGGAAACGGCGTCTTTCTACCTGTGAAGAGTGATAACCAGTTTGGCCCGGATAAGGGGACATAGCAACACTCAGCTAGCGCCTACTGCCTGGATTACCTCTGGCTCTCTGTCCCTGCTGCTCCAGGTTCGGGTTATCTTGCATCACGGAGGAGAAACTTAGTCCACAGAAGTATTTGTTGTGCTAGTGTTGGTTTGACTGGTGGTTCTGTCTTTCCTGTGCACCCTGCCCAGGGTTTCATTTTTCAAAGGGAAACGGCAGTGGTTCTCAACGATGTGATTCCCCCATCCACTGCCATCGCCCTCTACTGGAAACTTGTAGGAAACATGAATTCTCAGACACCACCCCTAAGAAAAACACACCGATGGAGTCCGTTCTGTCTCATAATGACCCCGTGGGACTGCATAGAACTGACCCTTGGGGGTTTCGGAGACTATAACTCTTTACGGGAGTAGAAAGCCTAGTGGTTTTGAACTGCTGACCTTGAGATGGGCAGCCCAGTGTGGAACCCACTACAGTACCTGGGTACCCCAGACTCTACCCCAGACTTGCTGAATCAGAAGTATTCCTTGGGGTGGGGTCTAGCATTCTGCTTTGACAAGGCTGCCAGGTGATTGTGATATGGCTAGTTTGAAAACCACTGAGCCAGTGATAGAAGCAGCCCCGACACGGATGCTCTCTGCCAGGGTCAGACCCTTTCCCTCTGGGTGCCTGATGTCCACTCCGGGGCTATCGTGAGGAGTGATGGGCAGCCAGGAAGGAGAGCAGTCTCCAGGACCTGGCAAGTGCTCTAGATGCCTGTCAGTTATTCTCCATGCTTTCACAGCTCTCTGTATTGACCTTCCTGTCTCTGTCCTGTGTTGATGCCTGTGCGCAGGTGAACCTCCTCCCGCCTTCTTCCTAAGACTTAGGAGGAGATGGGGAGAACTTGGGGCCTCTGTCGCTGTGCTGTCCCTCAGCTGAGGCGAGTGTTGCCGCGTTCACTGGCTGCAGGAGCCTGGGAGGTCAGGGCAGAGGCAGCTGCGTGATTGTGATTGCTTTCGCCTCCGGAGCAGAGACAGAACCAGCTTCCTGGTGCCAGCCACCGCTGCCTGTCCGAGTCGGGGAGAAGGCAGAATGCTTCGCAAAGCACTTGCTAATCAGGAGTCTGTCAGAGGCCTGGTAATCAGATGCTGAGCGCAGGCTAATGAGCTAAATGAAAACAGCACATTCTTTTCTTAGGGGCTCCTGACTGAGAACGAAAGAAGGTGGTTAGGCCTGAAAGTGGAGTTTGGATAAGGCAGATGGGTCCCCTCCGGTGTATGGTGGGGGGGTGTATTTGTAGGGATGGGCGGAGGGTGGGGTTCGTAACAGGGGCAGGTTAAGTGAGAGGCTAAGCCAAATGATGGCTGCCATGCATAAATCCGGTTTTCCTCATAGATTTGCGTGGTTAAGAGGAGGAATTGCGTGGAGCCCAGCCTTTCTTTCAGGGGACAGCGGGCCTCGAGCCGGGGTGACCCATGCTTGTGTGCAGGCAGGCTACCAGATCACGCAGCAGCGGCTTCCGATCGCGGTCAGTGGGCGCCTGACCTACGGCGTGGGCGTGGGGACGCCGCGGCGCGTGGCCGTGCGCACGGCGCGCGTCAAGCAGATCCAGCTGGAGCAGGACAGCGGCAAGAGCCTGCACGACGATGCGCGCGCGCAGACCCTCATCGACCTGAACCGGGCCGGTAGGTGGGGCGGGGGGAGCCCGGGCAGCCCCCTCGCTTCTCGAACCTCGCTGCCTGCAAAACGAAGGCACCCAAGCCCCCGCCCGATGCTGTGCTGCGTGCTCTGTCGAAATACAGCCTCAGAACCCAGATGGCGGCCCTGGGTAGAACTGCCCCTGTGGGTTTCTGAGACTGTCATTCTTTATGGGAGTAGAAAGCCCCATCTTTCCACGGAGCGGCTGATGGTTTGGAATTGCTAACCTTGTAGTTCACAGTCCAACCGACATGTAACCACTGCAACCCCTGGGCTCCCAGTTGATTAAAAAAAAACGACTAGCCCAGTGGTTCTCACCCTTCCTCATGCGGAGACCCTTGCCTCCAGTTCCTCATGTGGTGACCCCAACCATAACTTTGTTTCGTTGCTTCTTCATAATGTAATTTTGCAACTGTGATGAATCGTAACGTAAATTACAAATTGAACATCATTAAAGCATAGTGATTCATCACAAAACGATATGTAATTCTATATTGTGAAATACTTAGTATTTTCTGATGGTCTTCGTGGACCCCTGTGAAAGGGTTGTTAGACCCTCCACAGAGAACCACTGGCCTAAACCATGCTTGCCATTAGGTTTTCAGGTCATGCCAATCATGACCCTTAAAAATAAAGTTACTCACCTAGTCACAGACCCACCAGCTTGATATCTTAAGCAGACATTAAAAGAAACCCAAGTTAGAAATCAAAGTGGGAGAAAAGAGACAGTTTGGGCGCTAGGGCCATTTTGAGAGCCCCACTTCACAGGGTTGCCCTGATTGGTCAATTGCTCTGATGGAGGCATGGGTCTGACTCTCTCTCCCTTTGGCAGGAGTTGGACTTCTGGAGGTGGTCATGGAGCCGGACATGACCTGTGGAGAGGAGGCAGCCATGGCTGTCAGGGAGCTGCAGCTGATCCTTCAAGCCCTGGGGACGAGCCAGGCAAATATGGCAGGTAGCAGCCACAAAGCACCGCCCCCTCTTTCTTCCTCACTTCCCTTCCGGGAGAGCTTTAGTCACTGCGTCAGCTACACTGGGGTTGGTTCTTTACAGCCTTGACTTGGGCTTTTGCATTCCTTTTTTTCTGTTGGTCTTCTTAAACACGTCCTTGGATTCTTTCCTGAGCTGCAAACCAGCACAGTACAAAGGACCACCCTGGTGTGGCACGCAGCCCCAGGGTGTGAGATCCGGAGAACAAGGAGCAGCACTTACTCCTGGCTTCTTACCTGCACTGGTGAGGTCCTAAGTGGGAACCGTGAAGTCTTTCTTACAAAGAAGGCACCATGCTTCTTAATTTGTGAGTTCCTTATAAGTCAGTAGGTATTGGTGGTTAAGTGGTAGAGTTCTTGCTTTCCATGTGGGAGACCCTGGTTCGATTCCCAGCCGAGGCACCTCTTACAGGAGACATGTGTGTTGTTGCAATGCTGGACAGGTTTCATCAGAGCTTCCAGACTGAGGAGTAAGGAGAAGGGCCTAGCCATCAGCTTCTGAAGCTCAGCCCCTGAGACTGCGGATCCCGACCATGCAGTGCAGTGTGCAGTAGATCGTGGGGGCTTTGCTTCGTTGTGCTGGGGTCTCTGGGAGCTGCAAGGTGGGAGCTGGCTGGCCAGCAGTTAACAACAAAAGCATTGCTTCCTTGGTTCTCTTTCTCATCCTTCTTTTGTAGAATTTCCATCCATGCTCTGGAAACCAGTTTATACAGGGGGCTTTAAAAAGTCGATGGGAAAAAGAAAGGAAAATGGAATTTTTCCGCAAACATTTTTAATCCCCATGTATGAGCAGAGTCAGTAGTATCACTTCTCAAACTTTAAGGTGAAACTCTAAAGTTCAGAAGGAGAGTAGGAAATTCCAAAAACAAACAGCAAATGAAAGTAGCACTTCGTCCCCTGGGACCAAGCAAGCTGCAAATTGTGTTTGTAAATTGGCTATCACGATGATGAGTTTTGGTCAAACTCGGGCTCTGTGCCCTTGGCCTTGGGCTGTGGCTATGTTGCCTCCCTTCAGCCCCTGAAGGCTGGGCTCTCCCACGGCTTCTCTCCTATTTTTGGTTTTTGGGGGCGGTTTAAAACCTCCTGCAGCCCACTGAGCACTCCCTGGTGGGCAGTGCCAGGGCTCCGCGGTGTCCAGTAAGCCTCACGGATGGGGATGATTCATCTCCCCACTGCTTCAGAAGCCTGTTTGCTAGCCTCATTCTGTCACATAATGGATTTGCATGTTACAGAGGAACTTCTGAATCCAGCATGCCACATTTGTCAGATAGGACATCTCACAAGCAACACATTGTGGTATCAAAGCCCTGGTTCAAGTTGAACTTGAAGACAGCACTTACTTTTTGGCCCCCAACTCTAAGTTGGAGACAAGAAGCCCAGAGCGCCAGACAGGCAAGCGGCATAAAGGTTAGCTGCCTGCACATGACCCTTATAGAGACGAGCTCTGTTCCCAGGGAAGAGAGCTCTATATTTATCACCCATAGAATGGAAGCGAAATATGGGCAGGTTGCACGGTTACTCATTTATGTGCTAAGTGTTGGTTTTCTATTGCTTAAAAAACAAAGTTAATCCTTCTCCACAATAACTGATTCCTACTAAACCTATGGAATAATAAGCAGGTCACCTGTTAGCTGAGAAATGTTCCCATCTGGGTGTTTGCCAAGAGGTAAACCACAATGGCAAAGACCCTTCAGTGGGGAGCAGCTTAGCAGGTTCCTTAACGCTCATTGGTCATGATACTCTGTTCCTTCCCAGAAGTACAAATGGAACAGCGTGGCTGTGCTGTTCGGAGATGCGGCGAGGTTGGCCCAAGGTCCGCCGGAGCCCAGTTCCTGGTGCATCCTGAGTCAGCATCTGGCCCATTGCCATATGCCTGCTCTGCTGGCCTTGGGGACTGTGGGCTTATTAGCAAGGAAGACAGACAGGCTTGTTGCCATTGAGTCAGTGCTGACTCACAGTGACCCGATAGCACAAGGTAGAACTGCCTGAGTGACTGAGATGGAAGCTCTTTACAGGAGTAGAAAGCCCCATTTTTCTCCCGAAGAGCTGCTGGTGGTTTTGAACTATAGACATTGTGGTTAGCAACCCAACTGGGAACCACGACACCACCAGGGCTCCTAGCCATGGTGAGTTGGTGTTAATTTTCCACAGCCCACCTATTTGGATGAGTAAGCTTTATGAAATGTGTGATACGAATTTGTTCACATTATTTTTACTGTCAAACCTGATTAGTCAAGTTCTGGAGAGTATTCAGTGATCAGAATGAGAAAGCGTAGCAGGCTTTCTCCCCAAGTCCTCGGGCCCCTGCTGTTGACAGAAACCATTTTCTGTCTCGATGTTCTGCTGATGTGTGAATGCGCTCATGAGAACCATAGGTAGTGGCGCCCTACCCCCACTCTCAATGGTAGCGTTTTTGGTTTGCCTGCTACAAATACCCACTCGAGAGGACAGAAATTGAACCTGATAGCATCCTCCCGGGCTGTGAGCGAGGGCCCTCCCTCAGTGTTGCCGAATGCACTGAAGTCAACCTGGTTGGTACGGCTTTTGTGCACTTGAGGCCATCTTACTGAATTTGCTTAAAAGGTATTTTGTCTTTGCTGGATGGAATACCTTTTGTTAGTGTTTGAGACTGTATTGAATTCCGGCTCGCGGACTCTCTTTCAACACGGCAGGCCGCTAAATGATTCTTCTCAGACATTGTTGAAACGGACTAGGCTTTCACTCCTATTCCAAATCAGAATTTCAGATTTTGAAAGTTGTTTTTTAACAGCAAGTGAGGTCCAATTCAGATCAAACAACGTTCTTGCCCACATTTGGAGCTTGGGGTTGAGCAGAGCTCAGCTTTCTTCCTAAGATTTCCTCTGGGCTCAGTGGGCGTTCAGGTGACTCACTCCAACTGTGGAGGAGTTGTTATTTGGACAGAAAGGGGGGGCTGACTGGGAACCTACTGGGAGACAGCTGTTGTGTTTACTCATTGCTCAAGAAAATGTCAGGACTTTGTGGTTGTTAGTTGCCAACCCGTAGCTACTGTATGCCCAGCAGAAAGAAACTGCCCCATCCTGTACCTTCCTCACAGTGCTCCCGGGCAGAGCCCACTGATGCTGCCACGGGGTCAGTCTTCTCCCTGAGGCTGCCCCTCCACGACTGGTCTCTCCTGACAGTTCTTATCGTCCTCGCTTCCAAGGAGCACGCTGGCCAAACTCCTTTCCAAGACGACTTTTGCTTGCCCTTCAGGCACTCTGGCAATGTACTTTCAATGTTCTTCTCCACAGTTCAAATGCATTAATTCCTCTTTGGGCTTCCTCCTTCAATGTCCAGCTTTGACGTGCGTGTGAGGCAATGGAAAGCACCACTAGCATTCAACAAGGTATTCATTTACTGGACAGCTGCCATAGACCAGATCCAGCTCTAGGTCCTGGAAAGGACCCTCATGCCTGCCCCATGGAGTTTACATTCCTGAGGAAAACAAGGCAAGCAAATGCTTACAGCCATGAGTGCTTCAAGGAGAAAAATGGGGGCTGTGGTAGACTATCACATTGGAAGGTGAGGATGTAGCTTTTTAAAGGCCTGTCAGGGGAGGCATGCCTTTGAAGAATGATCCAAGGCCCCAGCCAGCGTAGGGCTAGGGGACAAGCACCCCAGGGGACAGCTGGGTCCCAAGCCTTAAATTGAGAAAGTGTGTAGACTGTCTGAGAAGGTAGCGGAAAGCACTGTGGGGGAATCATGAGGAGTAGAGATGGGAGAGAAAGCTGCAGGGTAGTCAAGGGATACAAAACGCCAAGCCAGACTCACTGCCCTCGAGTCGGTGCCAGCTCCTAGCGACCCCCTGTACAGCGGAACCAAACACCATCCTCACAGTCGTTAGGTTTGAGCCCATTGTGGCAGCCCCTTGTCAAGGGCCTTCCTCTGTTTCACTGCCCTTCTGCTCCACCAGGCATGATGCCCTTCTCCAGGGACTGGTCTCTCCTGACAGCGTGAGACCAAGTGCGGCCATCCTTGCCTCCAAGGATCACTCTGGCTGTACTTTTTCCAGGACAGGAACTAGACGGTGGTGCTATTTACTAAAACTGGGAAGATGGAGGCTTGAATAGCTTTGTGTGGGGAAAGTCAGAATTCTGGCTTAGAAGCTGCTGTGCCAATGAGCTCTGCAAGTAGACATGCTAGCAGACAGGGAGCAGGGAGCGCAGAGTGGGAGGCTGGGCTAAGGGTAGAATGGGAGTTCCCAGCAAATAAACTCAGGACCAGTGGCCACAAGCCGACTGTGACTCGTAGCGGCCCCATGAGTGTCGGAGTGTTTTCAAAGGCTCCTCTCTGGGAAGTGAGTCTCCAGGTCTTCTGAGATGCCTGTGGGTGGGCTTGAACTCCGGTCTTTGGCTCCACCACTGAGCAGGCGAACCACTTGCACCAGCAGGCGCTTAAGTCAGCACATAAGCATTATGTAAAGCCTTGCACCCCTACGAAGAGCATGCTGTAAGTAAAGACGAGGGTCCTGAGTCGCATGGGAGAGAAGGCACAAACAGATGAACTAGAACAAAGTGAGGAAGGGAGGGTGGGAAGGTGGAAGAAAATCAAGAGGCAAGACCTCGGGAGCTAAGGGAGAGGGATATTTCGAGATTAGCTGGTGTGTCACATGCTGTTGTGGTGGCAAGTAAAGCGACAACCAAGCATGCCCATTGGATGTGGCAGTGGCCAGCCCTCGGTGATGTGGACTGACTGAAGAGGGTTGAAGAGGAAATGGAGGCGAGTCTGCTGAGGAGGAAAGCAGGAAGTGTGGTACTTGAATGATGAGAACTGGGCTCCAGAGAGTATGTAGTTAGATATTTGGTTTTCTCAATAAGAGATGACAGGAGCCCTGGTGGTGTAGTGGGTTATGCATTGGGCTGCTAACTGCAAGGTCAGCAGTTCAAAGCTACCAGCCACTCCAAGGGAGAAAGATAAGGTTTTCTACTCTGTAAAGAGTTACAATCTCAGAAACCCACAAGGGCAGTTCTACCCTGTCCTTTAGGGTTGCTTTGAGTCAGCATCAACCTGATGGCGGTAAGAGCAGTTTTTGAGAAATGAGAGCTACTGTGGTTTGTGTACGTATCCGCGGGCATGCCGGGATGTGTGGTGGCCTATGTGGGAGAGAGGAAAGGAAAGAGTGGAGCCCTTGGCCAGGCAAGAGGGGTGGGCATTAGCATTGCTGGAGCCGTGCTTTCTCGTATTAAGGACAATACTAATTCAAGATCGACGTCACTGTGCACTGACTTCTCTGGGATAGATGGTGTACATTCTAACGGTGGAGAGGAGCCGGCTTATTGGGGAGGGTTCCTGGGCGGAGGCAATGGTAGTGGAGGGAATGCCTGCGCATCTGACCTCCCGGCTGGAACCCCACACCCCCATGCCACTTTTAATGTAATACTACAAATGGTAAGATGTCAGTCGGAGGTTGAAGGATGAGCAGAGCTTGAAGAAAAGGAGGAGTGGTGACACGGATAAAGATACAGTGGGGGCCGCCGAGGGAGGAGTGGAGTTGGATGAAAACTGCCGATGCCGCCTCGGAGCAAGCTTTCTCATGGGCTGTGTGGTGGGGCCAGATGAGCACGCTTGTAGCAAGCAGACTGTGTGCTGTTGAGTTTGCACTTGGAATGGTGATGAGCCCAGTGTCCTGACTGTGGGGCAATGGGGAGCCACATTGTGGGCGGGGACTGGTAGGGGGGATGCAGAGCCCAGACCTGGCCTGGACTTCCAAGCCCATGGGCTATGGTGGGCACGGCGGAAATGGAGAGGAAGTGTCAGGTCTGAAGGAGAGGAGAGAGTCCACAGGGGTTAGTTGTCTGCTTGGCTCTCAAAGACAAGACAAATGGAGATGCTGAAGATGATGTCTGCTGTTGTCAGGATAGTGGAGACTCCTTTCGATTCAGAACAGCACAGGTGGGCCAAAAGGTGTGGTTCTGTGAACGCGTTCAGTGGTCTCTGAGCTGCGAGGCCCCTTGTCCTGGACTGCGCAGCGAGGGTGAGCTGGCCCTAGTTGAGAGGCTGCAGCGGAGACCAAGGCAGGGGGCGGCGGCCCGCCAAGGCCTGGGCTCCACAGGGGGCGAAAAGCAGAAAACCCGTCTCACAGCTCCTTCTCTTGGCATGGAATGTATTTGCTTATTTTATTTAACCAGACTGATTTTGCTTCCTGCACACTTTTGTTGTGGGGGTCATAGAAAATGAATATCTTTATCCAACTCACCAGAACACTCATTATTTGGCAGATTAAAAAAAAACACCACCACTTAACTGTGGAAACAGAACCCAGCCTTTGGACTTGTGGTTCTGCTCAGTGTGGGCACTGTAAGTGGAAGTGGATAATGGGGAATCGGAGCTTTCCTGTGGGTGGTGCAAAAGGTGGTTCTTTCTGACCTCCATCCCTCCATTTGTCTTGGGATTTTTCCTTCAGGAATTCCTAATTCCCACCACACACCGCCTGACTCTTTTGAGGTCCCTAATCTGAGGAGTCTTTGAATCAAAGGAGGCCCTCCCGCATGGGGACAGTCCTTTCCTCTGTGTCCCCGCACAGAATCCCTCCTTCACAAGAGCAGCATCTCTTCAGCTGCAGCGCTCAGAAGGGCTCCGAATAGGGTTTCGGGCAGGGAGAGACTATGACCGTCCCTGGGGAAGGAAGGGAGACAAAGCCCAGGTTTCTGGATCTTGCCCTTGAGCTGTACATACTCAAGGACTCTCTTATAAATCTCCCAGACTCACGGTCAGAAATCCACAGTTCACTGGAGAGCAGTGTACATCTATCAGCTAATCATCTCTGTGAGGGCTTCCCTCCCTCCCCCAGCTGCGACACTCCAGGGAAAAAAACAAAACAACTTGAGCAACATGGCAGCGTGAATCTCCGTGGCAGTGTGGGTTTTCTTACTTAGCACAGCTGAAATTACGCCCCTCAGCTGGCATAGCCCAAACCACTCCTACACACACACACACACACACACACACAGCTGAAATTAGGCCCCTCAGCCAGTGTAGCCCAAACCACTCCTACACACACACACACACACACACACCAGCCTGGGTACCCGTACGCCTGAGCGCCGGTACTGACGCGGCCCGAGGATGGACTTCAGGCCAACTGAAGTCAGGTTGCCATTTCTGCAGTCAGATTGTTAGAGCCAAATAGGAAGTAGATGTTGCATTGCTTACCTTCACAGACCATGTCCCCACCAAGAACTTCAAAGAAGATTTTCTCCTTACAGAGATTTTTCTTTTTTTTCCCTTCCAGAGGGGCAGCTGAGAGTGGACGCCAACATATCTGTGCATCACCCCGGGGAGCCTTTCGGTGTTCGGACTGAAGTGAAGAACCTCAACAGTGCCAAGTTCTTGGCCAAAGCAATAGGTGAATGCCAGCTGTTACCCCAAACGTGACTCGTTGTACCCACCGCCCATTGCGATGGAACAAACCACCTCAGCCATAGGAGGTTAGAAGAATAGCCATGTTAGTCGTCACAGTTTTGGGTGGTGGGTGGTTCTGCTGATCTTACCCTGCACCTTGACTCCCTCAGGTCGCCACAGTCAGCTGGCAGCTCAGCGGAAACGTAAAGTCTCCGGGGCATCACTCAGGTATTAGGGTTTCTGTGCTGGCCGGAGATCTTCCTTCATTCACTTGTCGGGCTTGGGGGCTTGGCCTTCTTACTTGTTGGTGTAGGGGGAGGACTGCCTCTGAGGCCTAAGCTCCAGAATTCACACAGTACCACTTCCCACACACTGATTCAAAGGAAGAGGAGCCAGACTCCACCTATCCATGGGAGGGCCTACAAATGGCCATGGCCTTGGCTTTCCATTTACCGCGTCTCTTCTGAGGAGCATCGTAGATTGGCCAGAGTGTGACCTAATTGGTCAATAGCCTCCCTGCTTATTGTTCCTCTAATAAACTGCATGTGCTCCTGTAATCAAATATTGATCTTTTTGGGTCATATACTTTGGGCAGTTCAGTGATGATCAATATATAATAATTAAAATAAAAGAGTTGATCATGATCAACGTCTGAGGCAGTCCCATGAAAGTTGACATCTTAATCTCTCAGAGGTCATCTCAGAGGACTTGGCGTATTCTGTAAAACAAAGCTCTCTAGAGAGGGCCATCCTTTCCAGCAGGCACAGGACACAAGACCACTGAGTGTGTGGCCACACGCCAAAGTGTTAATTAGAGCCCTGGACCTTGTCACACAAAGTGCTAAAAACAATGCAGAAAAGATTCAAAACTCAAAACCACTGCCAGCAACTCAATTTCAACTTAGCAACCCTCTACAGGGTTTCTGGGACTAAATATTTACAGAAGCAGAGAGCTTCACTTTTCCCCTACAGAGTGGTTAGTGGGTTTGAACCGCTGACCTTGTGATTAGCATCCCAATGCCTAACCCAGAGTACCACTCTTTCTCCCTGTAGGAAAGATCAGGCTTGTATAAAACCGAGATGTTTCTGAAATGGAAATAATCAGTTTACCTCTGAAGACAGGGAGCGTGGTGAGACTGGCCCATGCAATGGCTGGTGGCAGGAAGGGTTCCCATCTGAAGACAAATGAAGGGAGGTGACTCTTCTTTCTCTAGAAGGGAGCCTCACCTATATTCTAAAGCCATGGACGGTTTGGGCCAAGGTGAACTATTACAGCCTAACTCTGAAAGAGAAACTCAAATGGAAGCGTTTCAATTCACTCCTAGAGAGTGAGTGTTCGGGAAATCGTTCTGAGAGCTAGTAATGGTAGCCTACGCACTACCCAAGAGGCAGGTTGGGTCTTGGGTAGAGTACCCACTTGAATTATGAAGGACACTCCCAGCACATTCGGCTGGCTTCTGTTGTCCTGCGAGCCCCATGGGAGCAACAGCCTGGACTTGGTGGGACTCTGGTCTGGCGCAGACTGGAAGAACCAACACTTTACCGTTCCGGGCCTCTCCCCCTCTTTCCCTCTCTCCCTCTCCAAACCGAACACTCTCCTACTGCCTTGTCCTCCCCAGACTGGACCTTTTAGGCAGCACTTCATGCCAAGCCGAGAGAGGTGAGGGTGCTCAGGGTTGAAAACTGGCACACGTGGATCTTGCTGCTGCTGCTGCTGCTGCTGCTGCGCAGCTGAGATCAAAGGGAGTAGGCTGCAGCAAGAAGCAGCAGTGCTCGGTGGGCTGGGAGTTGAGGGAAAAGCTAAAGCCGCTCTCATAGCGAAGCCTAGTTGGCCATTGTGGTTAGGTTTTTAGGACCACAGCTTGCCTTGTTCGATGGCAGGGGGAGCATGACATGGAGCTGCAGTTCTCAGTCATTTGGGGACAGATCTCTTTGAAAGTTCAGGACCCTCTCCCCCAGATACATGTCTGTCTATGCTCGCGTTTTATGTATAGTTTCCGGAGGTCCCAGGACCTCCTGAAGCCCAGGCCTAGATCCCAGGGTAAGGATTCTTCAGAGGCTACCGGCCTACATCTGGCGTCACTAGACCCCCTTGTCCGAGTCATACCAGGGTCCTTGTTGGCCCTTCCAGCTCCCTCATTCCGTAATGATGGTGAAAAGATAAAACACATAGGGGAAGAATTATTATAATCCTTGATTTTAAAAAAAATTAAGGTCTTTAATTATTGCTTGACTTGAAGAGAGGTATAATCAAAATTTCACAAGATGATACTAAATTACCGTGTTTTTCTTAGACTATGAAATTCAGAGGCAAATCAAGGAGCTTGAGAATGGAGGTGAAATTCTGAATGAAACCCGCTCGTTTGACTCCAGGCTGGGGTGAGTTTGGAGAAGAGCCTCTGGCGACAGGCAGCGTGCGGGGCAGGAGAGGCCTGGCCACCAGCCTGGGACCTGGGAGAAGGTGCTCAGCTTGTCTGCACCTCAGTGTCCACATTCGTCATATTACCCCATAGCGGCACATTACACTCTGTGCATCGAAACCCACAGCATCACGTTACCTCCCTGAAGGACAGATTAGAATGCCTCATGGAGTTTCTGAGGCGTTAAACTTTATGGAAGCAGACTACTTTCTCCAGTGTAGTAGCGGGTATATTGGAACCACCACTCTTTCAGGTAACTATCCCTGTGTCACCAGGGGTCCTCAGTATGCCCTATGAAGCCCCACTGCCATTACGGGGATTCCAACTCATAGCAACCCTGGCTTTGAGGGAGCAGACAGCCTCATCTTTCTGCTGGGGAGCAGCTGGTGGGTTTAAACGGTCAGCTTTAAAAAAAAAAAAAAGGTCAGCTTTTTGGTAGCTTGGGCTTAGATGATGACCCTTCCCTTGCTTCCAGCTGGCCTGCTGCACTGCAAGGATCTCTCTCAAAATAGTCTTATCACACCTCGACCATATGAAGCTTCGAGGTAGGAGAGATTGAAGAGTTGGTTGTAGGGATACCACCCACCCGCATACCAGTAATGTTGACATTAATTTTCAGACTCTGAATTTTGAGAATTGTATCCTTCAGCTGAAAGCTGAAATGTTGCAGAAATTCTTTCTTTTACAATTAGTCATATTAAACTTCTCTCTACTGACATTTTAAAAAGTATTTATTTAAGAGTTCCTGATGAGCTGGATATTGCCTCACCCTTAGTGATCAGTGGGCCCCTCTCCGCCTCTTGACCAGGTACTGCTGCATGCATTGTGCCCTTACTGGTTTCTTCTGTCACGATTGCAGGTGTACCGTGCCCATGAGGGACAAAGAAGGAAAACAAGACTACAGGTGCCTGCTCCTCCTTTCAAGATACCATGACATGTTTAGGGCGTGAGGCCAGCTTTCAAATCCGTTTAAAGATTGATAGAACGATCCTGGATAGTTTATAGGCGCCACATTTTGTTGCTGTAGGATAGAGAATCTAGACATCCTCATTTCTGTGTATCCTGAGAGAATGCTTATCTTCTTAACTTGGTAGCCCCAGAGCACCCAGTCTGCCTGCATCCCGCTGTGGGAACACACACGTGCGGTCACTTCTTGGGCAGAGAGTTATTACAGCAGCACCACAAGGATGGCAGCTGCGGGCGGGGCCTGTTCCAGTTCTTAAAGCCCATAGCAAATCCAGTCTTTTCAAATGCACTGAAGGTCCTTGGGAAGAAATGGGTAAAATGGGATGTGCATGTTCAAGGCCTTTCCCTGCAAACCTCAGGTGATACCATTGAAAAGCTAAAGAATTTAGACTGAATATGAAACCCACAAATAATTAGTAAAATTAAGTTTCAGATAAGTGGTGCATTTTGTGTCCCATTTCTCCCCCTGCCCCATGAGTGCAGCAGATTGCAAAGACTGAAGGAACTCTTTAGCAAGGAACTGTTGTGTTTAGCCCAGCAGCGCAGCTATTTCTGTGATTGAGGAACAAATGTAGCATGGTCCTACGGGAAAAGAGAGGCTCAAAAATCCTCCATGTGAAGCTCACCTAGAGGATGGCTCCTATCCTATGAGTCAAATAGTACTACTAGGGTTTTAGTTCATACATTCTGGGTCTATTCCAAACAAACATGTTTTGTTTAAACATGTCTCACATGTCTCTGATCAGTGGGTGGCCGCAGACAAGTTTGCTCAATGATATGCTTGTCTTTAGTCTTATTAGGATACCTCGCTCCCCGAAAAAAGAGGGTACTTTAAAAAAAAAATGACATGAAGATTAACTAGCTCAAAGACCTGATCTTTCCATTGGTCTTTTAAGCAAGATTGAAACTAATGAAGACGATTTTGTAGCACAAATCACAAGCAGGAATGAGTCTTGTATTTACCAATATGATCCAGGGAGCAAGGGTCATTCAAAACAGTGGCTCCCAAGGGAATCTGCTGGGCCAGTGATATTCACAGCAGCTCCGAAGGTTCTGGTGGCTGTTTCTGGAGAGTCTCAGGGAATCCCCAGATTCCCCTAACAGAGTTTCTCACAGGACACGGGATCATCACAGGGCTTCTGCAGAAGAACGCTTAAGGAAACTGAAAGCTGCTTTGGTGAGAAAAAGGGCCGGAAAGTTGGCCAGAGAATATTTATTTTTTCTATCATGACCTTGCACCTGCTTATTCTTCGAGGGTAACAAGGGCCGTCCTATGAGAATTTTATTGCGAAACCTTACGCTCTGCACCTTATAGTCCTGATCTGGCCCCATCAGCTTTCTTTCTGCTTTCCGAGGCGGAAGCACATGTCAGGAGCACGGCTGGGGTCCCTCAGGGATGCCCAGACGACTGTTCTGACACATGAAAGCGTGTAGGATTCTTTGGGGGAAGGTTTAGAGATGGGCACACCACCATCAGAAGTGTATAGCTCAAGATAGGGTACGTGTCCTGAAACAGTAGCATCCCCTTTGGTTGTTTTTGTTTGAGAACGGTTTCTGTGTTATGTGGCAAGACTTTTTGACCTTCATGGGTTTCTCGCCATCCTGTTTAAGCTGCTGTCTGGTTGGGCACGGAAGTCGGCTTTTAACGTAGCCAGTGGCTTCCCCGCACACCCTCGAGTTGATAGCGGCTGGGCCTTGGGAAGCCTCCCTTTGATTTTCTCTTGTCTCCAAAGTCAGACAATCCAGAGCACAGAGTGGCCCCTGGTCTCATCTCTCACATTAGAGGCACTGTTCTACATGAGCCTGCTTTCCTGTAGCCCTGTGCTGGAGTAGCAGAGGGGTGGGCCGGCCTTCTGTGTGTCAGAATGGGGTCCGCTTCCATGGTTTACTTGGGTAGAATCTCTTCTACCTCTCGAGAACGCAAGCTTGGCTATTTTTCCCCAGCTTCTCATTTACTGCACAAATGGTGCTATAAAATTGTTGCAAATCCAAAAAAGGGGAGAAAATCATCTTTCCAATAATGAAATTATTCTCGTTGTTTTCTCAGCCTTTGCATTTATAAATATATGCTTATCCACAATCGGGGATCCTGGGGAGGACGAACAGTTAGGTGCTCAGCTGCCAGTCGAGAAGTCAGTGGTTCAAAACAACCAGAGGCCCCTCTGAAGGTAGGCGTGGCGATTGCATCTCCAGGGTTTTCAGCCTTGACAACCCTGTGGAGCAGTACACACACACACACACACACTCACACACACACACACACACAGTTAGGCTGGGGCAAAGACCAGTTGCTAGGGAACGGTGAGAATTATGATTATAAGGCATGAGAAATATTTGTAAGTAAAACGGCCTTCATCAGATGCAGAGTTAAACTCACAAACACCAGCTTTTAGGTAGTTTGTTACCAGCTTGAAGCCGTCAGTCTCAGGCCCTGTCTCCTCCCCTGTCCCGCCCAGGTTTATGCCGGAACCCAACCTGCCCCCGCTGGTGCTCTATGACAGCGCCTCGCTGCCTGCAGGGGCCGACGTCCAGCAAGTGATCAACATCGACTGCATCCGCGAGGGGCTGCCTGAGCTCCCCAGCGTGACCCGGGACAAGCTCGTGCAACAGTATGGGATGCGGCCGGAACACAGCTTCACCCTGCTGGTGGGTGTGCAGGAGCGGCCAGGGAAACGCGGCCCGGCACCTGGGCTCAGGTTATCCGATCAGGCCCCTTCCCAACGGCGGGCTGCCCAGTGGAACGATGGGTGCGCCCCTTCGCGCCTTATGAAACGAAGATGAGAAGGGAGCCCCATTAGTCATTTCTTCCCGCTTCAATGCGCAGGTTCCCTGCAGGCAGGGTGTATACCCCAGGGGATGGGAGCAGCTCAACGCGTGGACTGTCCGCCACATTGAGCCTCGGCAGGGTCTGACTGAATGCTAGTTCGCGAAAGGAAACACGGATTTCTCCCCAGCCCAGAATGCAGAAGGCCGGCTTAGGTGTCTGGAGGGGCCGCGGGAGGGTCCGACAGCGTGGGGATCTGCTTAGGAGGATCGACAACGTGGGGATCTCCATCCTCTTCAGAGAAATGTGGGCCTTTGCCCTTTTCTTTGTCATGGCCGCGTGGAAGCCAGAGAGCAGGCGTGGCACTTGGTCACAGCGGTGGTCTGCTGCAGCACCTTTCAGTGTGCCCCCTTTTTGGGGGGTGGCCGAATCTGGGAACCGGCCTTTCGCCACGGACGTGGCGGGTAGTGAGTGCAGCCTGGGGCTCGGAGGCTGGCCTTCTTGGGTGACCTGGGCTTGGCCTCCCAGCTAAGGCACCGCAGGTGGGGTCGCTGCCTGTGTTCAGGGGAGGCTCGCATGTTGTGGGGGTGCTGCACAGCTTCCAAACCAGGCGGACTGTAGGAAAAGGCCTGGTGGTGACCTTTTGAGGGGAAAAATTAGCCTGTGAAAATCTTGTGGATCACAACTGACCGTGGGGCTGACCCAGGACCAGGTAGCATTTCCTTACGTTGGGCCCCGGTCCGTTGGAGCCACTTGGGTGGCAGCTGACAGCAGCCGCAAGTGTACCAAGCATTGGATGATTCTGATGCGTGCGACACTGTGCACGCATTTCAACCACAGCAGTCTCCTCCAGGCTCCACCGTGAGGGCGGCCAAACGTGTCTGTTGAACAGATTCTCTGTGAGCACCACTTTTCTTGTCCCTAAGGACCAGGCCGCATCAGTCACTTCTAGCCCTCTGTGGGCCATGTGTGTCTCATGCATTACCTGGTGGGGCCAAAATCGCTGAATGGTCATCGTTTCTTGGGGTGTCTGGTTCAGCCTCCAGAGCTGCCAGCACCTGAGGGAAAGGGCCCTCTGAGCCCCATCTCTGTCAGACCTGCGGGTCCACAGATTGGGTGGGCCTGAGTCAGCTCCACAGCAGCCTGTTCAGGGTGCCTATGAAGTGAGTCGCCACTACTGGGTTTTCCCAGAGCTGGAGTCTCACAAGTCTTTCCCACCATCTTTAATCCCCAGCCCACCCACATCATTTCTGGACTTCAGACCTACATGTATGTAAGAGGGAGGAGAGCAGGAATTGCGGCTGCTCTGCCTCCAAGAAGCTAGGGAGCCGTCTGCATGTGGTTAGAATGTCGCTAGACAAGCAAATGTGTTAAGGCACCATGTGGTGCATGCAGTGTGTCGCTCCAGGTAGACTGGAGAAACAAACCTATAGATCATGTATATAAGAGAGAGTTTTGTATAAAGAGTAATTGAACATTAAGAAAGCATCTCAACCTGATCCAGCCCAAGCCCATAAGTCTGATATTAGCCCATATGTCTGATACCAATCGGTAAAGTCCTCTTCAGACTCACGAAGTACATGCAGTGATGCTGACTGCAGGACGATCACAGGTCAGTGAGTAGAAAGTCCTTGGGTCCAGTGGCGGTGTAAACATCTCAGTGCTGGCAGGGGTCTCTATGTGGCTTCTCCGGTTTCAGAGGTCTGGTTGCATCAGGGTAGGTCCATGTGGTTTCTCCAGCCAGGGCACTAGCATAGTTCATGTGTCTTGTCAGCTGCAATGTCTCCCGGGGAGTGGCAGAGGGAGACAGCATCTTGTCAGTAGAGCATCTTCTCAGGGAGTGAGCAGACTGAGAGATGGTGTCTCCTGCCTCCAAGAAGGAATACTGGATTTCCCAGAATTCTCAGGAGAAGGCCATCCCCACACAGAGGTCTCATTGGCCATGAGCCAATTGACAGACTAGACTCCACCCTTTCACACGTAATCCTCACACATTGACACCAGATTATGCAACGATCACACACAGTTTCTTGGTTCTTTCTTTACTCAAGAGTGAGCCTTCAGGAAAGAATCCCTAACTATGGTCTTTGTGCCTCAGCTTTCTCCATACGAGAAATACAAGAACCTTTTAGAGACTCTCCCAAGAATAAAGCTGTGTTCTCTGAAGGCTCTGAAAATATACAGTCATGTTAGAATTCTGGGGGCCCTGGTGGCGTAGTGTTAGGCTGTTAACTGAAAGGTCAGCAGTTTGAAACCCCCAAATGCCCCTTGAGAGAAAGATTGAGGTTTCTACTCCTAGAAGGATTTACAGTCTTGCATATCCACAGGGACCATTCTGCTCTGGCCTGTAAGATCAGTCTGAGTTGGAGAATGGACTCGATCATGGTGAACGTGGAGTTTTGAGTTTAGATCCCCCCATCCAGCTGTCACCATCGGTCTTGATGAGTTTGGGGGAGTGGGGGTCTGTCTCCCTTGCTTGAACATACCTAAGGTCCTCGTGCTTGTGTCGTAGCCTTCCCTCACTAGCCTTCTCAGGGTCGCAGAGCTGGCCATCAAACCCAGCCCATGACGTGGAGTTGCTTCTGCCTCACAGAACTGTGCCATTGGGTTTCCGATACGGTGAGTCTTCACAGGAATGGACGGCTTCATCTTTCTCTATGGGTTTAAATGACCACCCTGACAGCCGTCCAGAGGCTAACTCACTGTGCCACAGGGCTCCCGAATTAGGCACCTTACATGTTTGCTGCCGGGCACATGTGAGTGACTGTGCTGTAATCCTTTGATGTCCTGCTTCAGGAAGCCAGCTTTCGGTTCCCGTGGACTCCACTCCACTCCATGGCACCGCCCTGTACACCAGAACAAACGTCCAGTCCTGGGCCAGCGTCCCCATCGTTCGTGGTGTTCTTCAAGCCAGTGCCTGGCAATCTGGGCTACTTATTCTCTTCCAGCACTGTGTGCAACACTATTCTAATGGTGGTTGAGATGTAGGCAGATTATGCAGATTATGGCCCTTCTACCCATAATCTCTTCTCTGATGTGTTGGCAAGTCTAGGGGGAGCCCTAGTGGTTTGTCGTGGGTTATGTGTTGGGCTGCTAATCTTGAGATCAGCAGTTCAAAACTGCAGCTGCTCCAAGGGAGAAAGATGAGGCTTTCTACTCCCATAATGAGGTACAGTCTCAGAAATCCACAGGGGAAGTTCTGTTCCTTAGGGTCAATCACCATGAGACAGAATTGACTTGCTGTCAATGGTTTTTCATAACTTCTAGCCTCAAAGCCTGTGGTTATAATCCCATGTTGGAGGGAGTTCTCTGGTGTGCTAATGGACAAGGTCAAGCCGGGCTGTCTTCTGAGTCCTCACCTTACTGGAGGGCGTGAAGCAAGTTGCCGTTCTTTGTTTCTTTTCCTTGGGGATCGACATGGCCCGCTGGAAGACCACAGGCACACCTCCAAAGCCATCCCTCTGTGTATCAGAGCCATCTCAGAAGCACATCTGGAGAAGAGCCACCAGTGGTGCATATTCTAGTTCTCTGTCGAAAGTGGCAGAGGCTGAGCCCAAACGCACCGGAGGTTGTCGCAGAGCAGAGGATCCAGCCTGAGATCAGAGGCCAAGACAAGGAAACCATGAAATAGAGGAGCAGCACTGAGACTGAGGCAGAGCAGTGGATGGGCTTCCTGGCCCTGGAGGTCAGGGGACCACATGGCTTAGAGCAGTGGTTCTCAACTTGTGGGTTGCGACCCCCTTAGGGGTTGAATGACCCTTTCATAGGGGTTGCCTAAGATCATTGGAAAACACTGTGATTTACATTACACTTTATAACAGTAGCAAAATTACAGTTATGAAGTAGTGAAAATTTTATGGATGGGTGGTCACCACAACATGAGGAACTGCATTAAAGGGTCGCGGCATTCGGAAGCTTGAGACCCTCTACTAGAGGTGGAGGACTGGAGAGAAATTTGGCTACTGATCGAGATGGACTAATGACTGTCCTTCCTGGTAACTGGTCCTAACTAGGGGTAAACTTGTTAACGTCCTTAATAAACCCCATAATTATGAGCATTGGCTGAGAGCATTATTAGTGGCTATGACATCAGGTACACTCGACAGAAAAGTGGCGTGCCGGGGAGGACCGGCTGGTGTCAGAGTAGGTAAAGGAAGATGGGGGGTGGAGGCGCTTCTGACTCTGCCTCGTGGCAGGAGGGAGGCTAGGGGAGGTCAGATAGAGCCTCGGCGCCGTTTAGGTTTCATTGGCTGATTTGTGGAAGGGGCTTGCCATGCCTTTCTTCCTCGTCTAACTTAGTGTGCAGGCTCGGCTGAAACTTGTCTGCCGTGGTGACGCTGCTGGCATTTTGGAAGCCTGGTGGCAGAGCTTCCGTCGTGAACGTCCATGGTGACCAAGCCATAGAAACTCAAAGCTGACGAATGGGTGGTGTGGGCAGCCCTTCTGCTCCATTGAAGACTCCCAATAGCGTTTTCTGAGCAGTAGGCGGGACTAAGAGGAGGGCGGTGATTGGTGTTTGCGGGCTTTAGATGGATGGCTTCTTGGTCTGAAGAGATTATAACCCAAGCTCCGCTCGCGCGAACCAGCCTATAGGGCAGGTCACAGGAAACAGAAGCATGAAGTTTGGTGGGGGACCAGAGGAGACGGTGATTGGTGTGGGGGTACATGGAGAAAACTTCCAGAACCAGCTTCGAAGGAACTTTTTTCAGATATCTTAATAGCATGCTTACGTTTCTGGCCTCATAGGGTGTATGACATGATTTGTTAAAATATAAGAAGGCTAATACTTGAAATGTTCAAGATGAGTGAGTATAGAATGGGACGGGAATGGCGAGAGAAGGAGCCAGACAAATTGTTTCCCTGAAAGTGGGCAGCCCAGGCT